GCTGAGCCGGGAGCCCGATGTGGGACTTGATCCCAGGACCCTGGGATCATGACCTGAGGCGAAGGCAGTCGCTTAACCAACTGAGCCACCCAGGCGCCCAAAAAACTACTATATTTCTTTTGAGGAGAATCACAAGGAACATTTTATTAGAACATTTCACAGAAATAATCAGAGGACTAAAACAGAATGTGAATCTTAATTGTATATATATTTTAAGATACTTAAGACATACTTAAGGCATACATACAGAAAGGCATACAGATCAAGAATGTTCCAGTCAATTAATTATTACAAAGTAAGCATACTTGTACAGTTGACCTGTATATTGACCCTTGAACAACACCAGGTTTGACTGCATGAGTCCACTTATATGTAGATTCTTTTAAAGAGTTAACAGCAAAAGCCACAAGGCATTTACTTACAACTGCCTACCCCAGTCTCCACAGAACAAATCAAAAAGTGACTGACACAGAGGTTGTGCCTGTTGCCCTGAGAACCCAGGGAGACCTGTAGAGGCAGTCAGCAGCACCCTGGGATGGGGCAGAGCTTCAAGTCACCCCCAGGGTGAAAGGGTTGTGTCGGTGGGGTGGTTGGGTCAAGCACCAGGGGCTGAGCTGAAGGAGGAACACAGCCAGTGCCCTCAACTTCCAACCCTCCAGGCACACCCCTACCCTCCCGCAACCTCTGCCCAACAGCACCCAGGCCCCAGCGTCCCTGGGAGGCCTGCTACACTTACATGTGGCCACAGCTGCCAATGGCACAGGTCAGTGCTACACGGCAAGGCAGATGCGACAGCTGTACTGCGCCTCCAGGCCTCTGCCACAGCCAGCAAGTCACCCAGCAGCTGTCCCTGCTAAGCCAAGGCAACCAGGCTGCAGAAAATTACCATCCCAGGACCAGGCCTGCCCCTGGTACTACTCCTGTCCTGGTCTGCCTACAGGTGGGCTTTTTTCAGTAATATAGGTACCGTACTATAAATGTATTTACCTTCCTTTTCTCAATAACATTTTCTTTTCTCTAGGGTTATTTTAAGAATACAGTATATAATGCATACAACATACAAAATACACGTTAATCAACTTTATGTTATTGGTAAGACTTGTGGTCAACAGTAGGCTCTTAGTAGTTAAGTTCTGAAGAGTTAAAAGTTATCAGCAAATTTTTGACTACATGGGGGTTGGCATTCCTAACCCCCATATTGTTTGAGGGTCAACTGTATACCCAAGATATACAACACTACTGGCACCCCAGAAAGTCCCCTCACCATCCCTCCCAATTACTCATTATTCCTTTATTCTTCCTCAAAGGTCACTACTACCCTAACTTCTGATACCATAGATTGGTTTTGCCTGTTTAAAAACTCTATACAGTGGATTCATCAGTATATATATTCTTTTGTATTTTGGCTTCTTTCCTTCAACATTATACTTGTTAGATTTTTTTTTCTACCTTTTTTTTTTTTTAAGATTTTTATTTATTTATTTGACAGAGAGAGAGAGTACAAGCAGGGGGAACAGCAGGGAGAGGAAGAAGCAGGCTCCCGCTGAGCAGGGAGCCGAACGTGGAGCTCGATCCCAGGACCCCAGGATCATGACCTGAGCCGAAGGCAGACACTTAACCGACTGAACCACCCAGGCGCCCCTCTACATTCGTATTTTTAAACTGTTACAAAACACTCCAGTTAAACTGCTCAGTTAGAAAACTACCCTTCATAAAGTCATTTTTGAAGGAGTGATGACATTTGGATTTTGACTATCAGCAGATTTCTGGTAAACTGGAAGGGACAAAAACAGGTGTCAGTTAACAAAACTTGAGAACAAAGAGTCCCCCCTACTCCAGAAAACAAAGCAGCATATCGGTCACACTAATAACCCCCACTTCTTTCCTTTTACTTGCTTCTCCCTTTTTTCCAGGAACCCTGTGCCTTGGACTTCCTTGGTGGCTACCACAGGGCTGTGACTGATTCTAGAACTGGGCAACAATGAGAAAACAGGAAGATGTATTCAGAATAGGTAAGCTGCATATGCAACACACTTGGGATGCAACAGCTGGGTGATACTTGAGTGTATATTCTGACCTAAGGAATTTTTGCATTAGAGACATAATCTAACATTTGGAACAATAATAAAGTAATAATATTAGTAATAAAATGTAATAAAATGTATTGTCCCCATAATCTACTAGCTGAGGCTTAAGGGCATTGTCATTACTTTCTGTTTATTTTTATGGACTATATCTGAAAGAATTTAAACTATTTCCAGAAAACAAAATTACAATGATTTTCATCTGCACATGCTTGAAAAATAATGCAACAAAATAAGACGTATGGATTCATTTTCCAAATTAGAGTTATTTCTAGACTGCTATCTGGGGCAAAAATTTCATTTTGAGGAGTTTAAAAAAAAAAAATGGACAAACTGCTACATGACTCCAAACATGGAAACTTACAGCTACAATGTATTTTATTTATATATATATAAAGTGATTCAGAACAGGTAAATTATGAAAGAAAATACTTTGCTGATTCTCAAGTAGTAGCTACTTTTAGAGAATCTACTGATTTTTTGCTACTATATCAGAATTAAACACAAAACACTTCCTTCAAAATACATAATGATGACCTTTTGGGGATTAAATTCATACTGAGGTTTGTGTAATATGTTTATGTGTGTTGCAGACAGCAAGGGATAAAAGGTTTCGGAAAGTCTAACTGCTGTGGGTTGCACAATAAACAGATTACTACTAACATTCCACTTTTTGGTAAAAATAGGAGGGAGCTCTGCTTTCTTATCCTAAAGAATTATGATGTTTGTCCACTATTCCCCCAATCCTGAACCTTTTCCTCATTTTCCTTTAACCATTAATCTACGGATTCCCTTATGAAGGGCCTTACTTGATCACCTTATTTAAAACTGATCTCTCAACCCCAGTCCCACTACCACCATACACAAATTGTTGCTTCCCATCTTGTTCCTAATTAATTTTTCTCATAATACTTCTCACCATCCAATATGCTCTCTTCCTTGTTTTGTTATGGTGCATACTATGGTGCACTACTAAATGTAAGCTCCACAAGGATAGGGATTTTTGTTTGTTTCTATCTCCAACTTTGAGTTCATTCTATGTGCCAGGCACTATTCTAAGTGTTCTACACGTATTATCTCACTTACTCTATTAGATATCACAATGAACCTATTAGTTATCATTATAAAGCTTAATTTTAGAGTTGAGAAAACTGAAGAATGGATGTTAGGTAATATGCTCAAGGTCACATGGTAACTAAACGTATCCCTATTTTTAAACTGGCAATTCCTCTCTAGTCTTTGCTGCTTTGGTGACACTACTGTCCAATTTGACACTCCATGTACTAATCTGGTAATCATCCTAGATTCCACCGTTTTCTACTCCTATTAAAAAATTTTAGGGGCGCCTGGGTGGCTCAGTCGTTAAGCGTCTGCCTTCAGCTCAAGTCATGATCCCGGAGTCCTGGGATCGAGTCCCGCATCGGGCTCCCTGCTCCGCAGGAAGCCTGCTTCTCCCTCTCCCACTCTCCCTGCTTGTGTTCCCTCTCTCGCTGT